ATCGAGTGGCTGGTGGTTTCGAAGTTTCTGACCTTTCGGTTAGCAGCCCAACAAATAAACATTATGCCACCAGGGAACACCAATGCAGGGACTGCTAAATTTCATCTACAGTTTATAGAAAATCAAATTAAAAAAACAAAACAAAATATTTCCCCGCCTATCATAGACTCTAAAATTTGAACCAGGATACCTTAGGAGGCCAATGGAATATAAGAGAGAAGCAGGGGAACCAAATCTTCTCAAGTGGTAGAACTTAACAGTATAAGCTATTTTCTGTCTTTATTGTTGTAGATGTCGACTGTTCTATTTACATCATATAGGTAGATCTGAAGTAAAATATATTCTGGTGATTCTCCTGTCTTCTCCCACCTAGGTTCTCTTCTTTACTCCAAGAAACGTCCCCAGGCCTCTCTTTGCCTGCAGAAGCACCTGTACTTTAACCTGTCTGCCATTACAGAAAAGGAGCAGTTAACAATGGTCCGGCTGAGCCTGGATTTGGGGCCCAACACGTACTACAAACTGGGACCAGAACTGGAATTGGCCTTGTCTCTGGTCCAGGAGCCTCCGGTGGGGGGCAGGTCGCTCCCTGCGCCAGGTAAAATGTTTGCACTTCAGTCAGTGCCTTGGCCTCACGGTGCCCTTCACTTCAATCTGCTGCCCACGGCTAAGGATTGGAATAACGACTCCCAGAAGACGCTGGGTTTGTTCCTGGAAATCCTGGTCAAAGGGCCCAGAGACACCGCGGATTTCCAGCCTGAGGACACCTGCGCGCAACTCAGACGCCTCCTTCATGCTTCTCTTCTGGTGGTAACCCTCAACCCTGACCAGTGCCACTTTGCATCCCGCCAAAGGAGGTCAGCCATGCCTGTCCCTAAGGCTTCTTGCAAGAGCCTCTGCCATCGTCACCAGCTGTTCATCAATTTCCGGGACCTCGGCTGGCATAAGTGGGTGATTGCGCCCCGGGGATTCATGGCGAATTACTGCCATGGGGAATGTCCTTTCTCACTGACCACGTCTCTCAACAGCTCTAATTATGCGTTCATGCAAGCGCTGATGGGTGCGACCGATCCAGAGGTCCCCCAAGCTCTCTGCGTCCCCACCAAACTGTCCCCCATTTCCATGCTCTATCACGACAATGATGACAATGTCATTCTACGACATTATGAGGACATGGTGGTTGATGAGTGTGGGTGTGGGTAGCCCGCACCTCAAAATGTGAATAGAGTATTTCTAGAGTATATTTTCTAATAAAGCCACCTATTTGGTTCAAAACCTTGTGGAGCTGAAATGTTGATGTATTAACAGTTACCAGTTGTTTGGGAAAAGATAGGGTTAAGAATAGTGTTAGTAATGATACTTATAATTAAGCAAGGAGCCCTGGTAGTGTAGTGGGCTGCATGAATTAAGTTGTGCTAACCACAGGCCAGTGGTTCTAACCCATCTTTGCTCCCTGGGAGAAAGATGAAGCCTTCTACTCCTATAAAGATTTAGAGCCTTGGAAACCCACGGACACATTTCTACCCTTCTGTTTCACAGTATGTGCGTACACACACACACACACACACACACACACACACACACACCCTGGAACCATCAGAGAAGACAGATTCTGCCTTAGAGTAATTGGTCGTAAAATTGTGCTTCCCCAAATCAGATAAGGCTTTGTTTAATTCGTGCCTCTTTTAAGTAAGAAATGAGCTATACATAATCAGGATACAAAGGGTTATACAAAGATTTTACATCCCTTTTATGCTCTATTCTTTTTTTTTTTTTAATCATTTTATTAGGGGCTCATACAACTCTTATCACAATCCATACATACATCAATTGTTTAAAGCGCATTTTGTACAATTCTTTTTGATGTGATTGAATTATTGAATTGTATGACATGTGATATGCTCTATTCTTAACAATAGAAATATTTTTGCTTGTAAGTAGCTATTTTGAAGTCCAAACCTTTAAAAGGAGCTCTGGTGCAATAAATGGTTATGAGCTCAGTTCAAACCCAGAACCACCGGCACTTGGCAGACAGCCTATCAGAGATCTGGCAATCAGTTCCTTTTCAGTCAAGAAAGCCCTATGGGCAGTTAGACTCTTTCCGACAGGGTCACTGTGAGCAGAAATAGACTGGACAGCACCCAGCAACAACATTCTCATTAACCCCTGAACCTATTGGTTTTGGAGCAGAGTATTGGAACAGGCATCTGCCTCAATGGGACAAAGCTATTTCTGTTGATGATGCCTTTTTTATGGCTAGATATGCTTGGCAGCACTTAATATATCCCACTATTTCAAATGGACTTAATGGATAGGTATAGTCTTATCTGTCAAATTTACGTTGTCTGACAACATTAAACATGCTGACCATTATTTTTGCACAAACTGTTCATATAAATTTTGCAATGTTCCATTGATGGAACATCTTTCTATAAAAGGTGCCCAGGGGTCTTAAGGACAATTAATTATTTGAGAACTACTGTTTTAGCCACACAATGTAACTTTCATCTTTCCAAAAAAATCAATTATGCAGTGAGTGATATGTAGGTTTTGAGTTAATGAAAGGGGTATTGTCCTAGGTCTTCTGAAAAAAGCCAAATAGCTGTTATCAAAGGGAGAATCTGATCTTGAGGACATCTATTACCAGGAAGCAAAAGGAAAAGAAAGCGAGGAATTAGCCCATTTAAAGAAGGAAAGGCTACTATTGATAAGGGCACTTACAGATACAAAGTCAAAATGAACCCTCTGCCATGTGCTGACTCATAGCACCCCCCTGTGGGTTTCCCAGACACAGATTGTTCAGGAATAGAAAGCCCAGGCTTTCTCCCTCGGAGCTGCAGGTGGTTTCGAACTGCAGGACATTCAGATCACAGCCGTAACCACTATGCGACCAAGACAGTAGGATTATTTTCCCCAACAGTTTGATTCGAGTATAATTCACATATCCTACAGTTCAGTAGTTAAGATCACATCAAGAAGAGTTGTACAATCATCACCACAATCAGTTTTAAAACATTTTCTTCATTCTTGTCCTCCTTGCTTAGTTCCCATTTCCTTCTACCCTCTCCAGCCATATCCCCAAGGAACTATTGATTCGGTTACTGTTTATAGATTTGCCAAAGATAGTAGGATATTTTTGGTGGGGGCAAGACAAAATATACTTTATTGGACAGCAAATGCACATGTTGCTGTAGGGAATGCACGCTGCTAGGAACCTGCATATATAAAAAGCTGCATATATAAACAGAGTCTGCCAATCCACGAGCATGGGATCGCCTTCTATTTGTTGAGCTCATCCTTGGTTTCTTTTAATAGCGTTTTGTAGTTTTCCTCGTACAGATCTTTTGTTTTTTGAGTCAGGTATATCCCTAGATATTTCAATTTGTGTTTGGCTGTTGTGAAGGGTACCCCCTTTTTGGTCCCCTCTTCTGTGTCCTTGTCTGATGTGTAACCTGCTACTCTGCCATATTCCTCTATTGCTTCCAGTACTCCTCTTGTGGAACCTTTAGGATTTTCCATATATAAAATCATATCATCTGCGAATAACGACAGCTTCACTTCTTCCTTTCCCAAGCAAATCCCTTCGATGTCCTTTCTTTGCCTTATATTGTTAACTAGGACTTCCAGCACAATGGTAAATAGGAGTGGGGACAAGGGACATCATTGTCTAGTCCCCTTTTTCAGAAGAATTGATCTCGTCTTTTCTCCCTTGACTACCCCATTGGCTGTTGGTTTTTCATATATAGCTTGTACTGTATTGAGGAATTTTCCTTCCATTCCTATCTTCTTGAGTGTCTTAAACATGAATTGGTGTTGGATGTTGTTGAACGCTTTTTCTGCATCTATTGATATTATCATGTGGTTCTTATATTTCTTCATTTCAATGTGACATATAATACTTTCATATGTTGAACCATCCCTGCATCCCTGGTATGAATCCCACTTGGTCATGTTTAATTATTTGTTTTATATATTTTTGTATTCTCTTGGCTAGTATTTTGTTAAGGATTTTTGCATCGATATTCATTAGGGAGATTGGTCTGTAGTTCTCAATTCTTGTGGGATCCTTGCCCGGATCAGGTATCAGAGTTATACTAGCTTCATAGAAGGAATTTGGGAGTTTGCCATCTTTTTCTGTGTTTTGGAAGAGTTTGTGTAGGATCACAACATTGTGAATGAGGGGGAGTGCAGAGTGGGGACCCAGGGCTGATCCGGGGGAAATTGGACATCCCCTTGCAGAAGGGTGGTGGGGAGGAGAGGAGCAAACCAGAGTGCAGTGTAGTAATGATAAAATATGCAATTTTCCTCTAGTTCTTAAATGCTTCCTCCCTCCCCATTACCATGATCCCAATTCTACCTTACATATCTGACTGGACCGGAGGATGTACACTGGCACAGATAGGAACAGGAAATACAGTGAACCCAGGACAGATGAACCCCCCAGGACCAATGGAGGGAGTGGCAATAGCGGGAGGGTGGAGGGAAGGAGAGGGAGGAACGGGGGACAGATGACAAGGTCTACATATGACCTCCTCCCTGGGGGACGGACAGCGGAGAAGTGGGTAAGGGAGATGTTGGATGGGGTAAGATATGATAAAATAATAATTTATAAATTATCAGGGGGGAGGGAGGAGTGGGGAGGGAGGGGAAAAATGAGCTGACATCAAGAGCTCAAGTGGAAAGTGGGTGTTGTGAGAATGATGAAGTCAACATATGTACTAATATGCTGAACACAAATGACGTATGTACAGATTGTGATGAGTTGTATGAGCCCCTAATAAAATGATTATTTAATTAAAAAAAAAAAGAATGGGAATAACTGCCCTTTAATGCTTGCAGATGTAGTCAATAGGGAAGGGAGAGGAATTTGTGTCCACATCTCAACCACAGTATTATATTAGGGGGCTTCAACAGGGTCATAGAAACATGGAATGAAAAGGTAATAGAATTTTCCCACAAAATGTTTGAAGCTCCCTCCCACAGACTTAATCAGGATACCTATGACTCTAGGCAAGAGGCTAAAGGCAAAACGTCAAAGAAGCTGCCTGGCTCAGGCAGTCACTTGTAATATCAAAAACCGGAAGATGGGCTAACTGAAGGAAGCAATGTCTCTAGACAAAAGACCCAGATATCCATTTATTTAAAAGACTAGGCGATTCTGAGGACACTTGTTCTGCCAGAAACAAACTATTGCTGGTAGGCTGGATAAACATTTACATGTTAATTCAGAATGGCATACATCTTGGGCTAAAATAACCACCTCAGGTAACCTGGATCCCTTTCTACTTGACCAAGGACAGTTTGAATTTCCATAGGTGAACGTCTAAGAGATGGAAAAACAATAGGGCTCATGACAGAACTGGACTTTTGGTGAAAATAATATATTAAGTTCTCCAGACTTGTCAAAATCAATATGAAGATGAAGGGAATTTTAGCCTAGAGCAGTGGTTCTCAACCTTCCTAATGCCGCGACCCTTCCATATAGTTCCTCATGTTGTGGTGACCCCCCAGCCATAACATTATTTTCGTTGCTACTTCATCGCTGTCATTTTGCTACTGTTATGAATCAGGGACCCTGAGAACGGGTCGCGACCCACGGGTTGACAACCACTGTCCTAGAGCATGGGCATGGCATTTCCTCCAAAGGTGAAGCAAGTCAAGCGTTTTCGAGATTTCTTGAAGGGGTTGGCTCTACTGATTGTGCTGTTTTCTTTAAAAAACAAAACAAAACACACACACAGAAACTTACTGTTTTCAGTGAAAGCTTACACAGCAAATAAATTGTTCCATGGCCCAGGGTATCATTTTAACAATGTGCCAGCGTTCTCCTTACTTCCATTTCAGCTTTTCTGCCCCATCTTGCCTTCCCAGCTTTGCTCCTGCTTAAATATTGGCCATTTGGTCTCATGTACTTGATGGTTTAAGTGGGAATACACTGCTTTCTAAGCCATGCTATTTGTCTGAAATAGTAACCACTTTTTAGGAGCCCTGGTGGGGGTGGTGCTGGTGGGGAAGTGTTGGACTAACCTCAAAGCCAGCTGCTCTGTGGGAAAAAGGTGGGGGTATCTGCTCCCATCTCCTATGAAGCTTTGCAAAGCCCCCGAAAACCTACATAGGGTCATTATGACGTGGAGTTGCCTGGATAGCAGACGGTTTGGTTTTTGTTGGTTTGTTGTCGTTAGTAGCCACTTTGGGGAGTAGCTTCGGTTCCAAGCTCCAAGGGAGTCTTAGGGCAATAGTCTCAGGGGTTCCTCTGGTTTCCATCAGTTCAGTAAGATTGGTCATGGTTAGGAATATGAATTGTGTCCTACCTTTTTATCCCATTCTATGCAGGACTTAATTCTGGTGCTTTTCTGTCCTCTCTTGATTGAGACAGAATAAGTGTTTCCTTCCATTTTATGAGGGATCAAGGACCCTATTATTGTTGCTAATTGACTTCAGATCAATTCTGACTCAGGACAACCATGTGCAGGGTACAATTATTCCATGGGGATTTAATTATGATGCTTACTTTCTGAAGCAGACACCTGGATCTAGCTTCAGACGTGCTTCCAGGTGGGTTCGAATCCTTGACCTCTCAGCTAGTAGTCCAGCTCTTAACTGCACCACCCAGGGACTCCTTTGCCAGATAAGGTAACATATTTACCAGTCCCAGAGCTAAGAGCATGAACATCTTTGGGGAAACATCAATGTGTGAGTTCAGCTGCTTCTTCAAAATTCACACATGCCATTGTCCAAGGAATTATTTCATGTTGTGGACTTTCTATCTTGACCTAGATAAGGATTTCTAGAGACTTGAGTTTTAAAGTTCAAGGCCCCGAGGGAACCTTATGTGACTTGATGGCAATGACTTTGGTGGGTTTTTTTTTTGTTTTGTTCTGTTTTAGGTTTTGAGAGGGACTACTGTGGCTCAGAGGAATCTGTAGCTCAAACTTGACCTTGGGTATGGGGAACAGAGTAATGACAGTAGCATTCTCTCTTACAGGGATTAGGATCAGAAAGGAAGAGACCAGAGACTTGCACAATAATATTCTGACTCATGGGCCAAGGTCCCTCTGATTTTGCATCTGGCAGTGTTCCCCTGATCCCCTTTCCAATGGGGAGTTGGAACAAAGGGCAAAATAAGAGGAAGTTAGAAATATGTGACTAATAATTGAAGGGCAAGGTCTGACCAGGTAACACTGAAGATCTTCAGGTTACAGAAGTAGGTCAAATCTCTGCCTTTTTCTCTCAATACAGAAGGGTGGGCCAGTCTTAAATCAGCCTTAATTTAAAGGCAAGGAAGATTAATAATTTTTAATGTTGACACCAGAGAACAATTTGGCATGTGGGATGCCTGCCAGGGACCTATGCCATAGGACTAATGTTATTTGCCTCCCAGATTCTCTTATCAAGCCAATGATCCAGGCTCCCTCTCATGTGCTACCTGTTTATTATAGTCCAGAGACTCAGTAACTACCTGAAACTCAAGAATGAGTCATTCTGTGCCCAAGTAGGTGGCAGTGGGTGCACCTGAGGGGACAAAGTTCAGGCAGGTTGCTGGCAGGAGCAAGCAATCAGCACAGCACATGACTCCAGGGGAAGCAGCTGGAGGCAGAGCAGCACCATGACTGCTGAGAAAGGTAGTGTGTGTGTGTGTGTGTGTGTGTGTGTGTGTGTGTGTGTGTTGGGGAGGGGGGCGAGGGGTGGCCTGACAAGCTCCGTACTTGGGCACAGTGCAAAAATTGTGCATGTGTGTGTGTGCATGTGTCTTTGTGCTTGCGTCCTCAGGGCATTTTCCAGCTTTCCTATTATTGATTAAAATATTGGCCATTATCCTTGGAAGGGAGAGGAGAAGAAAAGAGGCAAATAAACACTTTAAATATTATCCTTATATAAGATTTATCATTATGATTACTATGAACTATGATTTTAGGAAACTAAATCGATGTTTAGTTTATAATACTACTACTAATAAGTTAAAATGTAACCTCTAATAGAGCTCAGAAGAAAGGAAAAACCACGGTAGAGCCAGCATGTTGTATGACATCAAGTTGGTTCCAACTCATAGTGGTCCTACGGGACAGAGTAGTAGAACTGCCCTAGTAGGTTCCCTGGACTGTAATCTTCACAGGGGCAGATCACTAGTCATTTCCTAGAGAGCCATTGGTCGTTTCAAACTAACAATCTTTTTTTTAAAGATCCTTTTATTGGAGGCTCTTACAATAACAATCCATACATCAATTGTATTAAGCATATTTGTACATACATTGCCGTCATTATTTTCTAAACATCTGCTTTCTATTTAAGCCCATAGTATCAGCTCCTCTTCCCCCCTCCCCCTACCCCATGGGCCCTTGATAAATTATAAATTATTATTGTTTTCATATCTTACACTGGCCTCTGTCTCCCTTCAGGCACATTTCTGTTGTTCATCCCCCTGGGGGTAGGGTAGGTAATGCATTGATCATTGTGATCAGTTCCTCATTCTTCCTCTCTGCCCCCACCTACTCCCTATCATTCTGGTACTGCTACACCCATTTCTATGCCTGAGGGGTTTATCTCACCTGGATTCCATGAGTTCTTATCTGTACCAGTGTACATGCTCTGGTCTAACCTGAACTGAAAGGCAAGACTAGGGTCATGATAGTGGGGGGGTGGGGGTGAGGAAGCCTAAAAGAACAAATGAGTATTGTGTGTTTCATCAGTGCTATATTGCACCCTGGTTGACTTGTCCCTTCCTTGTGATCCTTCTTTGAGGGGATGTCCTATTGTCTACAGATGGGTTATGTTTTGTTTTGTTTTGGGTCTTCTGATGCCTGTTACCTGATCCCATCAGCACCTCATGAATGCATGGGCTGATGTGCTTCTTGCATGTGGGCTTGTTGCTTCTCTGCAAATGGCTGCTTGTTTAACTTCAATCTTTTAAATCCCAGGTGCCATATCTTTTGATAGCTGGGCACCAACAGCTTTCCTCATCACATTTGCTTATGCACCCGCTTTGTCTTCAGTGATCTTGTTGGGAGGGTGAACAACACAGAATCCCAGGTTGTTAGAACAAAGTATTCTTGCATTGAGGAAGGGCCTGAGCAGAGGCCTAAAGTCCGTTCACTTCCTCAATGTATTGCCATATAAATATATGTACATTGGCCAGTACCTACAGTTTTATGAATTAATGTATTTACATATGTACACACCTATGCTTATATTTCTATCCATAACTTTGCTTCCTCTGTTTCCTTTTACCTTCCTCAGATCCCACCATGAAGCTCACCCTTCTTCTGCCTCTTAGTAATCTCTCAGCTAGATTGCTGTTGCTCACAACCAATCTTTTAGTTAGCAGCCAAGTTCTTAACTATTGTGTTACCAAGGCTCCTTAGAGATAACTTAAGGCTCTGATTAATTGATAAATTAATTGTACAGTTATTTCCACTAACTGCCCTCAAGTCAGTTATAACGAATAATGACCCCATACAAAGGTTCTAAGACTAAATGTTTATGGGATCAAACAGCTTGATTTTTTTCCCTGTGGGGCAGCTGGTGTGTGAATCACCAACCTCGTGGTTCCCATGTCTAACCCCTGGCACCATCCAGGCTCCTTTCCTGTTATCTATCTAGTCCTAGAGAAATTCATGAGAGACTGAGAACTCTTAAGACTGTGCAAGGAAATTATTTTCTGAAGGGGTGGAATGTGAGCTCTCTCCAGCAGAAGAGTACGATTTCTTTTTGCAAAGAAGAGGAGGAGATTTCAGGCTGATTCAATTCTATTGACAAAAGGAGTTTGTGAGAATTTAAAGACATCTGAGCAAACTGGTTAGGCTAAAGAGTTTATGGAAATAAGCTGCAACAAGGTTAGAAATAAGGTTAGAGCTCAAATTCGACCTGTTCAAACCATAGTGAAGAAAATCATAGACTCAAGGAAATAATTAGTCCAAAGGTCGAATGGACCATGTTGACCTCAGCCTCCAGGATCCAGAGACCAGACAACTGTGATAGTACCCAGTTACTCCTGCAAATCACTCTGAAAGGGGTCACAATAGGAGGAGGTCTTAGGTAGAGTAGGAAAAAAATGAAACAAAACTCAAAATCATATAAAAACAACTCAGACTTACTTGTCTGATCAAGACTGGTGGAACCCCCTAAGAATATGGCCATTAATTCCAGTTCAGGCCCGGAACTGAAATCATTCCCACATTCAGCCAAACCAAGGGCACATCTATAAGGTGAACCATACAGTTCCAGGGAGGTATGTGTTCTTTAGAACAATGAACCATGCAAATTAAAAAGGCAGCATTTGCCCAGGGAAAAAGATCAGAAGGCAGAAAGGGATAGGAAAGCAAAGGGAAGGGAAATGGTCAACAGAGGGATAAGTGGGAAGAGTGTGGTGACATTGTTGGGAATCATATCAAGGTTGCTAAATAAAGTGTTTATGAATTGTTCAGTGGAAAATCAATTTGCTCTGTAAACTTTCACCCAAATCTTGGGGAGAGAGGGGAAAAAGGAGCTGATACCAAGGGCTCAAGTAGAAAGAAAATGTTTTGAAAATGATGATGGCAACATATGAACAAGTGTGCATGATACAATGGATGTAAGTATGGATTGTGATAAGAGCTCCCCATAAAATGTTTATCAAAAGAATTTTTTTCACCCAAATCATCACAAAACAATCAAAGATTGGACATTACATTTGAAGTTCTGTTATAGAAGGTCTTGAAACTCAGCCAAAGGAAGTTGGCTGAAAACCATTGGAGGATTTGTGAGTAGCATAGAGATATGACTAAAATCGTGTTTGAGCCACGAAGATGGCGCTGAAGGTGAGGAAGGAAGCTCCTGCCTCTTCCAAAACGGAAGCCAAAGCAAAGGCTTTAAAAGCCAAGGAGGCCGCGCTGAAAGGCGTCCACAGCCACAAAAAAGAAGATCCGCACGTCACCCACCTCCCGGCGGCCCAAGACCCTGAGACTAAGAAGGCAGCCCAATACCCTGGGAAGAGCGCCCCCAGGAGACACAAGCTGGACCATCATGCCATCATCACGTTCCCCTGGACCACAGAGTCTGCCGTGAAGATCGAAGATAACAACACACCTGTGTTCCTCGTGGATGTCAAATCCAACAAACACCAGATCAGGCAGGCTGTGAAAAAGCTCTATGACATTGACGTAGCCAAGGTCAGCACCTTGATCGGGCCTGACGGTGAGAAGAAGGCGTGTGTTCAACTGGCTCCTGACTGTGACGCTTCAGATGTTGCCAACAAAATCGGAATCATCTAAAGTGAGCCCAGCTGGCTAATGCTAAATAGAAACTTTTTCAAGATATATATATATATAAAAGTGTTTGAGACCCATTTGCCTGGCATTGGATGGGTTTTGGACTGGACAAAAGGAAAACAACAACAACAATAACAAAAATCAGGTAAAAGTAAATAGACCAGTTAGAAGACTGTTGCAACAATGTGACCTGATACATTAAGATGTAATACAGATACCAGTTTGGGGTTTAAGCAATAATTTATTTTTCTTTATATTATCCCTCTATTTAAATGCTTTTGTGAGTGGAGTGTTAGAGGGAAACCATCCATGTTTTTCAGTTGAATTAGCTGAGTATTTTTCTGGACTGTCATCTCAAACTTCCTGAATCATGGTTAACCTTCTGGCCTTGTGTCCCAGGGGTCACATCTCTCTGTCTAAGTAGTGAACACACATCTCCCTGTCCATTTCTGAAGGTCTCACTGCTGTTTCGCTTCCTCCAGAGGAAGTGTCCAAGGGCTGCCTTTCAGATTAAAGTCTGACAGGTGCTCATTCCAAGGTGTCAGCCATCTCCTCGCGCCCTCCACCTTTACACTCAAATTCACCTGTTCTTCACTCAAAGGTCAGAGGCTTATTCTTTGGGAGACCTTTAGGAGAGTGTTTCCTGACTCGGACCTCTTTCGTGATACCTAGCTACTTTCTGTTTAGTCCTTCATTTCAGTTAGAACCACTTGCCATGTACGGGCTACTGTACCCTGCAGGACCCCTTCCCTATGACCCCTCTAGTGCGTGCGCACACACACAGGAAGGTAGAGACAGTGCATGTGCTGGTATAAAACACTATCCATTTAGAAGGAGGTATCTGTCAGGCCTTATGACTCTTGTTTCAAAACAGTTTCTATGAGTTAAAAGTGTGGCTGGGAGGATCGGCTAAGTCTCCTGCCTGCATTTCCCCGTAGTCAGTGCACTCTCCGAGACCATTGTTGCTGACTCATAGTGACGGGGTGTGGGGGGTGTGTGGTGGTGGGGGGGGTGGGGGGAGGCGGGGGCGGTGCCACAGAAGGAAACACTGCCTGGTCCTGCTCCATCCTCACAACTGCTGTTATGCTTGAGGCCATTGTTTCAGGCACGGCGTCAAAGATCTCCCTCTCTTTTGCTGTCCCTCTGCTTTTCCAAGCATGTCCTTTTCCAGGGACTGGCTTCTCCTGAGAACATATCCAACCAAAGTACTTGAGATGACGTCTTGCCATCCTTGCTTCTAAGGAGCATTCTGGTTGTACTTCTTCCCAGACAAGTCTGTGATTTTGGC